CAGGTAAACTTGAGCGGGTCGGCCTAGAGGGGGCAGCTTCGACCCGAAACCGTTCCAAAGACCCTCTCATACTGATAGCCTCATTGAAATGTCACGATGATAATGTATACGTAGACGGCGAAGTAAATGGCAAAAAGTATACACTGTTGGTGCATACTGGAGCAACTAGGACTATTATACGACCAACAACTATAAATAACCGTAAGAAACTTCTACCAACAAGATTGCGACTACGGACTGCCACAGGTGAAAGTGCCAACATCCATGGGGAAATCCAGGTTCAATTGGGAATTGGTACAAAAAAGTTCAGTCAAACTGTTATTGTCGCTGATATCGAAGAAGATGTTATTCTTGGAATCGATATAATGAACTTACATGGTTTCCAGTTGGACTTTAAAAGCAAAGTGATCAAAGTTGGTGCCGAAGAGGTATTCCTACATCCTTATGGGGACAGTACCGTGCCAGTTACTGTACAGGAGGATACGGTGGTACCTGGCAGAAGTGAAACCGTTATAGTAGCACGGCTTCAAAAAACTATGGAACTATGATGGAGCCTTGGAACCACGATAAAGAGGTTGGACGAGGAATTTTGATCGAAAAGGGGTTGGTTACGACTGCTAAAGAGATTCCAGTTCATCTTATAAACGTTAATGATCACCCAATTACCATCAAAAAGAGACCAGAATCGGAACTTGTATACCAGTAACTTCCATAATTCGTCAGACAACAACTTCTGATAATTCCAACGACAAATTTAAGCAAATGATTGCAGTTGCTGGTCAATCTCTAAATCCATTAGAGAAAAAGAAAATCAAGGAATTTCTTCGACGATATCGTGAAATTTTTGTACCAAAAGGAGGAAAAACAGGGAGAACTTCTGTTGTAAAACACAAATCTCTCTCCAGTACTTAAGTCGTATTTGGCTCAGTGGAACTCCTTTATCCTGGAAGATGGCTTATTAAAGAGAGTACTTGAAAATGATGATGGTTCCGAGAACAGAAGACAGTTGGTCATTCCAAGAAGTAGAGCAGCTGCAGTACTCCATCAGTTACACGACAGTCCATCAGGAGGACATCTTGGTGTTAGGAAAACCCTTCAGAGAGTTCGGGAAAGGTTTTACTGGATGAACAGTTCCGATGATTTAAAGGACTGGTATAAGAAATGTACCACATGTGCTATGAGTAATGAACCTCAACGAAAAAAGAAGGCTCCCATGAAGCAATATAACGTTGGTAGCCCATTTAAGAGGATCGCCTTAGATATGGCTGGACCATTCCCCGCGACCGAGGATGGTAATAAATACATTTTGGTGGTCATGGATTATTTTACAAAGTGGGTGGAAGTCTATGCCATTCCAAATCAAGAGGCCGCAACTGTTGCAGATGTATTGATAAAAGAGTTTATCTGTCGATTTGGAGTGCCCTTAGAGATCCACAGTGACCAAGGCAGAAATTTTGAAAGCCAACTTTTCCGTGGAATCTGTGACAGACTAGGCATGAAGAAAACCAGAACCATAGCATTGCATCCACAATCCGATGGAATAGTAGAGCAAATGAATAAGACCATTGACAAATATCTGTCAAAAGTGGTCTCAAATCCTCAGAGAGATTGGGATCAGTATCTTTCGCTCTTTGCAATGGCTTATAGATCCGCTGTCAATGAATCAACAGGCCAAACACCAGCAAAGGTCTTGTTTGTGCGTGCGATGAGACTATGGTGTGACCTCGAATTTGGATGCCGACCTGGAGAAGATGTAGCTGCTGAAGATTATGTGATCCAGTTACGAAGAAGAATGGACGATATGCATGAATTAGTTCGCTCCCATCTTCAAATCGCTAGCGATAGAATGAAGAAGCCATACGATACCCAAGCAACAGAAGGTCTGGTCCCATAACCCAAAAAGACAAAAGGGTTATACTCCGAAGTTTCAAAGGTCTTGGGAAGGTCCGTACCTAATCAAGAATAAAATAAATGATGTAATTTACCGTATAAGTAAGATCCCAAACGGTAAATCGAAGGTAGGGCATCAAAACAGGCTGGCGCCATTTGAGGGTGACCATGAAGAAGAAGTAAACCAACTTTAAGAAATACCTGACCTTGTCTTTGAAGAATTTATGAGTGCATATGGAGGTACTGGAAAAGCCAGATATGGTGTTACGACTGAGCAACAACAAGATCTGCTCTCGCTTCTGAAAGACTACTCACTGGTCCATAGTACTTCCGCCAGCATCAAAGACGCGCGAGGACTGGCATATGTGTTCCGTAAGAAGTTTGGTCGACTGGTAGAACTTTAGTGTCAGTTACCAGCCCCTAGAATAGCCTTGAAACTTTAAGACGGGTCGTGTTATCTTTTCTATTTAATAACGAAGAACACCTTCCGAGATCGATCCACCTACCAGGATGTATGGGAAACATTACTTAGTCTAAGGGAGCACGTACGGGAGTCCAATGTACAGAAACTAGCCATGCCGAAGATAAAAGGAAATCAGCTGGATTGGAGGATTATTAGGAACATGCTGGAAGTAATCTTTTAAGATACCGGAGTTCAAATACTGGTCTGCAACCATTCGCCCAGTGCCCAGGTTACAGCGAAGACAGTCCCTTGTTACTTCCATGCAACTGGAAATTGTAAAAGAGGATTCAGTTGCAGATACAACCATTCCAGTTTAGTTTTGTAAGAGTTCCAGGAGGAACTATCTCTTAAGGAAGGGGCAATGTCCAAGTCCCTCTCTGTCTTTGAGGCTTTTGAGGCTCAACTTGTTCGATTATCATACATAATTAAACCCCTTAAGACCAAACCTATGTGACGACTATGGCGGAGGAGCTTTCGAGAAAGAACGGGATAATGTTTCTAGAGTATTTGGTGAATATTCTGGCACAATCGCCAATATTTTAAATTTGTATATTAATACTGATGGAGGATGAACAAAGTTAGTTATTATATGGACAGTGAAGATAAATAGTTAACAGTTTAAAAACATTCAAAATATATATAAATTAGAATACTAGTGTTATAAAATTAATAAGTGTCTAAATAAATTATTAATAAATAAACTGTTGTTTAAAATAAACAAACATCACAATATTTCCGTTTGGCAGTTTAACAGACACGACCATCAACAATGTTGTATGTTCCGGGATGGAGTGAAGTTATTGTTTCCATTGACCGCTTTAATGGTGGTTGATTTTCTTCAACTAACATTACTAAAGAGCCGGATTTTAAAAGCATGAGTTTCACATTTTCCAAGAATTTGCAAATGTGAAACATATTCTCGAGTCCAAGATTTCCAAAAATGTTGAACCATTTTTTGTGTGCCTCTTGATATTTTGTTAGAATATTAATATTCACATCAAGTAACTTTTCTTGTAGAGATGCAGCCGATTAAAAAATTAGAAAGGGTCAGAGCCATATAGTCGTTTGGGTTATTGGGAAAAGGTAGAAGTGGACGAGAATTTTAGCAGGCTTTGATTTAGTTTAGTACCATATAAAGTCCTTGATGTCTCAAAGTATGATTGCCGACAGCTCGTCGTAAATGAAATTTTGCGCTTTTAATAGCTTTTTCCTACATACCAGCAAAATGCGGCGACCGCGTAGGGGTAAAATGCCATTGAATTTAGTCTGTTAATAAAAAATCGGTGTCACGTTTTCCATGTTTTCTGTTATTAATTAAATTTTTAAGCTCTACAAAATGATTGTGTGCTCTCACAAAGTTTGAGCCATTTTGTGAGCACATCACTTGCGGTTTTCCACGTCTAGCGTCTGGCTTTAAACCGTTTTTAGTAATTTAGAAACCCATCCGTAGTAAAATCCATTACTGGTTCTATATGCACAGCTGGACAACTAAACAAACAAATAAATATACATATGTAAGACCTAACTAACTTACTCTATCGCAAGGTCCCTTCTTTTATTAATATTGGACCTGAATAATCTACTCTACAACTTGAAAATGGTCTAGACGGTCTGACTCTTAACATTATGAAGATCCTCCATTAAATATTTGCCAGGGTTTGGATTTGTTTTAAAGTGAATAATACCCTCCGGCAATTTTACTCCGTACTTGCCAATACCGGGTGTCTCACTATATATTTCCAAATTTTGACAACTTGTATCTTCCGAACCCATCAAATTTTCACTGAAAACTTAAGTACATTCATAAGTTTTATTAGCGTATACTGGAAATAAAAATGTAACTTTCGTTTAGAAAAAAAAAAAAAAAAATCGCGCCATAGCCTAATTTTCTTTAAATTGAACACCCTATATATTAATACATTTTTAATAAAACCCATCTTTTATCTATATCATGTTGTTCTTACTTTCAAAATCTTTTCGAAAATGGTTACGTTAGATCGAAAATAAATGTTTGCATAGTTAAATTTAGTCGCATTGCAAACAATTGTTTTTCACTAATGTGACAATCCTTTAAAAGGAAAGACATCTAAGTCATTTTCCATAGAATTTTATTTTTAAATGGCTACTAGTTTCGGCCTCTATGGGCCATCATCAGGCTTAAAATTGTAAGGTTACATAGTAGATGGAATGATGAAGAGTATATAAAAAAAAACTTTTTTAAAGGGTTTATAAACTTACCTAATATTGTTATATACAAAAAGAGGATAGTGCGTTCCAGATCAAATGTCCAATAAGTTCTAGTCCAAAAATTGTCTGGTATACCATGCGGACAATATGAAGGGCCAGTCTATCTTAGATAATATTGTCTATGCGTGTACCTAACATCGCAGGGGTTACCGCCCTCAGTACATAACAAACCAATTTGCTAACACCTTCCGTCTTATATGCTCTAAGTATATTGCACACTATTTGGTCTCATTATTTTTCAGCAAAGATTATGTCTTGTCATAAGATTACTTAAAATAACATTGAAATTTTTTAATAGGCGGGTAATTTGTGCCTAATATTGTACTGGGGATCTTAATTAAAATATTTGAAATTATCCTAATTGTGGAGCATTATATTGTCAACTGGTTGTTTTTTTCAGATTCTCTCTAACTCGCACCGACACATCAGAGCCGGCTTTAGCGCCGTCAAGTTCCCGGAGCAATTCCGGCGACAGCAACACTCCCGGTTTTCCGAAAGTTATCCCCACCCCGGGCGCGGTAGCTCCGATACAACGGCGTCGGAGCACTCTGGAATGTCCGGTTCCCGCACCGCCGAACAGGCGGCCCGGTTCATTTCGGCAGAAGTCGCCGCGCGCGACTCCCGAGCGACAGAGTTCGTTCTGCTGCAGAAGGCAGAGCTGGCCCGAGATTGACCATCAGGTCTGCTCCGGGTAAGTAGTCAGAATTTTTTATTTCCTTACATAGAGAAAAGTACCATTTACATATCACATAATTACTAGTTATTTATGTAACAGGGTTGGTAAAGGTAATTTTTATTGTAATGATATTATTGACTTAAGCACCATGTTGTAGAGTAGGTAATTGAGTGGATAATTTTAAATGACGTCCTATTAAACGAAAATAATAATTTTGGAAAGTAGATGCACCGGTATGTGAAATTAAATTCGTTCAATTTTATTTAAAAAATGAATATATTATATGCTTTTCGAAACAAAACAAAAATACATAGCTGAAGGCAGAATAAAAAATATATAAAAGTCGAAGACCAAAAAACATCACAGAAGCTGAAAAGTCTAGTTACAAATTTATTCGAACTGAACTTGATTGGTACTTGTGAGCGAATTGTTGTACTCTAGAATCCTGGCTACCATAAGTTTCCACGAAGCAGAAATAATCAGGAAGGCTCAATAGTTCTCAGGGTGTAGAATTTAAGAGGTGATAAGTACCCACTCAACTACTAGGTCTTTCTAATATCTGCATCTGCTTAGATTCTCACTTCCTGAAGCTATGGTATACGATGGACTAAATAGCTAAAATGCCAACAATTAAAAGTCAACTAAAAATAAGGCCGGTACTTATTTGAAAATCTACGTCATAAAAAACAACTACACAAAAAATAGGTTGTTGGATCCGGCGGGTCCTTTTTGCCCACAAATCTCTGTTTTCTACCTGTGTAAGTAAAGGGGTGCGTTAATCTTACTGGTATTTTGCCCACAGTAGCATTCAGGTACCTAAACCCGCAAATTACATCCGCCCACAAATAGGTACCTACCTGATTATTAATAATTCTAATAGGTACTTACTTTGGGTGTTTACTGTTTATATTTCAGTCAGTTTTTATACGTTGATGATTGTAATTCGAGTGTTTATAAACAATAATTATTTCTATAATGTCAGCTACATTGATTAAAAGCACACGCGGGAAAGATGTACTCCTTTTGGAGAATTTTACGTTTGTCAAAGATAGAGAAATGAAAAGTGGAGAAGTTTCTTGGAGATGCTCCCAAAGAAAAACAAATGCTTGTAATGCCACTGTATTTACAATTGGTCCTGCACTTTTAGTATCCAGAGGCAACCTAATTCATAGCCATGAAGCAAATGAACCGAAATTAAACAGGAAAATTATTTCTAATTCGTGTAAGCGAAAAGCAGTTGTTGATATTTCGGAAAAACCTTCTAAAATTATCCGTAAAGTACTTGCTACTAATTTACCAGAGTCACTAACTACAATTGATGTGTCCTACATAAGAAAAACTATATACAACAGTCGTCGCAAAATACTACCAGGTCCATTACCTACAAACATACAAGAAGTGCATGATGCAGTTGACTTATATTCTAATACATTTAAAACCAGTAAAGGTGAACATTTTCTTTTAATAAATAGCAGAGAAAATAATATTATTGTATTTACATGTGAGACAAATATTCGTACTTTGTGTAAAATGAACGTCTTGTATATGGATGGAACATTTTCGTATTGTACAAAGTTTTTCCTACAATTATTTACCATTCATGGGCTGTGTAATGGACACTATGTGCCCCTGGTATATTGTTTATTACCAAACAAATCTACCGATATATACAAACATTTGTTTTCGTTATTGCATTATAAAATTTTGGAAACTTACAGTATTGCTTTAAATCCATCTAAAGTGTTCGTTGATTTTGAAATAGCAATTCATAAGGCGTTAATTTATATGTGGCCTAATACTGTAATCAATGGCTGCCGATTTCATCTACATCAAGCGTGGTATCGTAAAATTCAGTCTCTGGGATTAATGACTGAATATACAACTAACAGTGATACCGGAAAATGGCTTAAAACATCATTTGGGTTGACATATTTAAACGCCGATGAAGTTGGAGACTGTTTTGTGTTTGACTTAATGGCAAGTAAACCAGAAAATGCCGTTCTCGATAGGTATGCCGATTACCTGTTAGAAACATATATTGAAGAAAATTCTACATTTCCTCCAAGTATATGGGCAGAAAAAACAGCTTCAATTACAAGAACTACAAATACCTGTGAGTCGTTTCATTCAAGGTTTAATTCTTCATTCTACTGTACACATCCTTCTGTATATATTTTTATAGAAAAGCTTAAAGACTTTCAAATCGACACGTATGTCACAATACAAAGCTTAAGTATACCTAAGAAAATCAAAGACAACAGTGTAAAACAAAAAATTCAGTGTTTAGAAAAATTTATACAGCGATTTGATCTGCAGCAAATCAGCAGATTAGAGTATATAAAATTTGTATCACATTTATCCCTCCCAGTTGAAAAATATGTAAATAAAATATAAATATATAAAAAATATAATATAACTTATGTATACTTACTTTTTTATAATAATAAAAATTAGTGTTTAATATAATTTTTAGTTTAATTAATAATGTGTTTTTACTTTTCGATAATATATAAAAAATAAATGAAAGATATATCTATTATGATTTATTCAGTTAGAAATAAATTTGGGCAAAATACCAACAGGATTAAGATGACCTTTTACTTGCTGTGGGCAAATTACCTATAGGATTAGCAGCTTTAAATATTTTGTGGGCAAATTACCTCCGCCCGTTGGATCAATATCATTTAAATTAAATCGTATAAGTAGATTAATATAGTAAGCACTTGTAAAGTAACATTTTTCAATTCAAAGGATAAAATAATCAAATAAAATATTTAGGAAAAGAAATATAAATTTACGTCTCACCTGGCCCATTCACAACATTTTTATGGTTCAAGTCACTCAATGGTGTAATTCTTGTTCGATAAATAAATACTCAAACTTAATCTGTCTTGAATTGCTGTATAACAAGGACAAATAGTTTAAACGCTCTGTAAGTGTGAATCGCGGTTAAAGAATATATGTACAGAGTACTAAGGAGTGGTTACACAGTTCTGTTAAGACCCGGTTACCTCGTATTAAACTATTTAATTTTTAAAATATTTTCTAAACGTGTCACGTTAAAATATGACGGGAATACGGTTTTAAAATCAAAGCCCATGGTAGTTTTTCGTACCATTAGCTTTGTAACTTGCTTTTTTATACATCTGGCAATTCAATAAAGTTTCATTTACTGCTTTGGAAAGACAAAAACCCCTATTTTCTACACCCACATGGATATTAGCTCATCTACGCACAGCCTACAAAATAAAATAGTATGCTATTGCGTTCAACTGAACGAATATATTTCATATCCATTTTAGGTATTAAGAAAACTGCAATAAAATGAGAGTCACCAATCAAAGTTCATGTTTTGGTCACCCGACTGCTATTACTTTTTTTCATTTTTGAGTATATGACAATTCTGTCAAACTAATTGCCAGTATATTTCTTAGATATTAGGATTAAATATACAATAAAATCGATAAATAAGAGCATTTCTATTTTTATTTCATCTATAATTATAAATAATTCGTTAATTTTAATAAAACTATATGAAGTCAATTTAATTGAGTGAAAGTTATCTGCAATGGTTGCAATCGACTCATGAGAGAATTGGGGGATATTAAGAACTTGTTATCTAAAATAAATGACGATTTTAATTTAAAATTCAGTAAACTCGAGACGAAATTAGATCAAGTCAACCCAATTGACGCAAATAGCATTAAAACGTCAATGTATAAGTTACAAACTGATATTAATGAGCTAAAGAACATCAAACCAGAAACCCAAACCAACAATAACTTTGAAAAAATCGTACAAGAACTAACTGTAAGAGAAAAAAGGAAAAATAATCTCATAATATTTAAGCTAGCAGAACAGTAAACTAATAACGATGAAGGTAACACCATTAACAATAAGGACCTAGATTTTTTTGCAAATTTAGCTGAAGCTGTCAAGAATAACTTAAAAATTAAAAAAGTATTCCGTCTTGGAATAGTTTAGCTTCAAAAAAACTTAAAAATAAATTTACGGGAGAGTAGATATTGTACCAAGTTTTGTTGTCAAGGACTGTTCCTATCCATTTGCCAAACCTCTTTGCTCCTTATTTAACCTAATCTTAAAAACGGAAACTTATCCTGACGTATGGAAAACTGCAAAAATTTGTCCAATTCATAAATCCGGTTATCGCTCTGCTATAGATAATTACAGACCCATAGCCATACTCTGCAACTTTGGAAAAGTGTTTGCGATGATAATTTACGAAAACATCTATAATAAAGTGAAACCATTAATTTCTAACTTTCAGCACGGTTTTATGTCAAAAAGATCGACTGTACCTAATTTGGCCTATATAACACACTTGACTCTGTCGGTCAAGTAGATGTTATTTATACTGATATAAAGAAAGCTTTTGACCGAATCGATCACTATCATTTATTATCAAAGCTTAAATCTGTTGGTTTTTTTAACTCTCTTTTGAAATTAATGGAGTCATATCTGCTTAATCGATACCAGTTTGTAGAGTATGGTGGTTTGAGGTCTAATATATATATATATATATATATATATATATATATATATATATATATATATATATATATATATATATATATATATATATATATATATATATATATATATATATATATATATATATATTTACATCATTCTATCATTTCGACGTCTTTTCATAAAACAGTAATCTGGCGTCACCTAGAAGGAGTAGGTTTTTCAAAAAACTAACCGTGTATATAAGTTCAGCGATTTTTTTGGAGCCCGGAGCTGTTGTCGAAATTTTTCTATCACATACTTAATGTATATTTGTATATTTCACTCTGAGGTGAATTTTGGCAACAGTACGAAAAATCGTTCAATGTGGAAACATATTGGCAACATGCAACGTTGCCAGTTTTCAGAAATTATAAATACCATCATTTTGGCGTCACGTCTTGCATATATACACATATGCCAAATGTACAATCAATTTGAACTCAATATACATAATAATTTTAATGAAAAGTTCAAGAAATTATTTTAAGATTAATAGCACAAAAATATATATAAGTAATGATTTTTTAAGGTTATTTACTATCATTTGGACGTCATCATTTATAAGTATGTATGTAATATACTATTAGAATTTACTAACATTTTGACATCTAAAAAGCTTAATAGACAATTTGGCATCTTTTTTTTATTTATATATTGCCTTAAATAATATGACGTTAAAATGTTATAAAATACATTATATTATAAAGTATAAAGAAACAACAGTTACATTATTACCTACATTTTAACTACGTAGGTACTATTTTATTTACGAAAATGGTGGTAGAATGGTAAATAAATATTAGGAAAGCCAGCTAGTTCTTAGTTCAGTTTAGTTTTTCTGTTAAAGTGGAGACGTGTCGCGTTGTTGTGTTATGCATTGCAAATTTTACAGGAAAATCTTTAAAATAAATAATTCGAGAGACGCTAAAATGGTGACTTCCACCTTATCGAGACTGAGGACCACAAGAGTAAACCCGTAGCGTAAAAAAATCAAGAAAGATATAACTTGAAACGAAAGACCAAAAGCCGAGAGTAGTATTAAGACGTTAATTTTTTGGTTTGTGAAGCATTGACATTACTTAGGTAAGACCATGTGATGATTTTCACAAGCCTTAATTTTTAAAACCATTCTATATCGCCTTTTGATTAGGATTTACAAACTTGTTCGAGCAATTTATCCAATAATAATTGGCCCCTTTACCTCTTAAGCCTGCTCATGTAAAATATTTGGGCTCCTTACTTCGCCTATTTTTTTAAAAATATTCGGTCCCTTTTAAATATGTCCATGTAAAATTATATTATCCCATTACGCCCTTAGATCTGTTCATGTAAAAATATTTGCGCCCATTGTCGCTTAAGCCTACCTACGTATAAAAATTTAAAATGGTTTTAAAAAAGCGGCAACATCTTTTTTTATTTTGATAAATTATTAATACCAATTATTTGGGTTGGGCAGTGCATTTATCATTCTGATAGTTAAACAATAGTAGTGTTGGACGACTACTGATGTATTTTTTACATATTTTTTAAAACTTTTCGGTAATTAAAAATTTTCAGTTTTTTTTGTCTTGGTTTTGGAAAAATTTACTAAAAAAAGGTAATTAGTCTTGTAAATCACTAATTTTCATGCAATGCATTTCATTAGCAGGACAAGCTTTCATTATGCCCATTATTAAAGACTTTAAGAAATAAATACCTTATTGTAATATAAGAAGAAAAACCTTAATTAAATAGAACTTTATCGTCTGATGCTTACTAAAAAAGTTGATCCAAGGTCTTGTATATCACTAATTTTCATGAAATACATCTTATTAGCCCGAGAAGCACCCGTTTTCATCCGTTATCCTTAAAGGGGTACGTCAAAATTTTACCCTCAACATTTCTGGGCTCTTTTCAATTATGGCGTTCAATTATTTAAAAAATGAAACACAATTTACAGATTTTATTGTTGTTTAACGTAATGCCAAATGTGAAATGTCACCATTCATTGCCCATTTTTGATTTTTTTCGATTTTCGATTTTTTGATTTTTCGATTTTCGATTTGTCGATTTTTTATTTTTCGATTTTCGTTAGTGGGTCGTAGAAAAAATATACTGTACAACTCAAGTGTATTGGCCATATTCACTCTTGTTGCACAAACTACTAATTTTCTACACCCTCATGGATATTAGCTTATCTACGCGCAGACTACAAAACGAAAAAGTATGTCATTGCGTTTAACTGAACGAATATATTTCATATCCATTCTAGGTAGTGATAACACTGCAAAAAAATTAAATCAATCATAGTTCATATTTTAGACACCCAACTACTATTATTTTTATAATTTTAAATAAGGAGTAGGGTTGCAACTAGGGAAGGCGCAACCCCCCTTAGAAATCTCACCTTTACAATCAGCAGCTGTTGTTTGACAGGTCGTTGGAGAATATTGGCAATGTATGGAATATTAGGAATCTTAGGAATGTTAGACGTTAGGAATCAATCGGGTTCTAAATTAGAAGCAATTATTTAAGAAAGTCAATCAGAACTTTCGTTCTAGAGCTATAGTGCTGGCATACATACGCGCAGACGACCAGACGAAAAATTTTTTTTTACATTTTCGGACTCTATGTTTGGAAACGTAAAAATGTTTAAAAAAAATGGTACGAAAATTTTTTCGTCTGCACGAATTTAATACTGAGGCCCCATAGGAAGGGCCTCAGTAATGGTTGAGATAGAAAAATATTTACTTGAAAATGACGCGAAACTGGAAGTAGAAGATATATACTGTGAAACAGCCAAATGGAAAAAATTCGGTAATAAATAAATTAGAGCCTGTTCCGAAAAATGTTAGGACACGTCGAATGGTATTTTTAGTTGCGCATTTTTTTAACAAAAAATTTTTAAAATAATACAGGGTGTATGGTTCGTTGTGTTTTAAATTTTCATTATTATTTGCATTTTCTGTCCATTTTAATAATTTTTATATTTTACTAATAAATAGTTTAGTTTAATGTTTTCAGCTTTAAAAAAAATATAATTAGTTTAATTTTATTTTAATAAATTTGTCCAAATATAAAAAATCCTATTTAACTGTAGTACCTTACTAAATAAAAACAAAAATTATTTCAAAAAAATATTGATTTAAACTACTTGCTCTGACATTATGTACTAGATATTTACTTTAAAAACCGCAAATAATTTCTTGTAATAAAATTTCTCGTTAATATTTTTTTATGCTTATGTGTATACACCTAATATGCCAGTCTCAGTTTGTGTTTGATTTTCATTTATGTGTGTTTTGTGTAGGCTTTGTTACTGTTTCCCAGCGCCAATTTAGGAAAAGTACTGTTAATTAGAACCCAACAGTGAATGGCCGGAGTGGGGAATCCTACCTGGACATCAAAATTATTTTTAAATAATTAAAGTTTGTAAAAGAATCCCGGTTGACGGTGAGATTCGAACTGCGGACTCTTGGATTCGCAAGCCCAAACTCTAGCTCTGAGCCACCCACCCCCTAAAGATTTGTTTAATAGAGAAAGAAACATCAAAAAAAATTTCTTTATTCACTTGTAACATAATTAACTAGCATTCTACAAAAACTTATATGTTTCATCAATCTTGTTTAAATTGTTGAGTGGTGAATGGCAATGATGAATAAAATTACGTGTACTTTAATTTCATTTAAATAATAGTTTGACGCCATAATGACAGTAAGTCATATTATTTATATACAAATATATATCTTGAGGCCGATATGTTGTTTGGTAAAGATTACTAAGAAGAGAAATTAGAACTTCATCGTTCAAATATCAGTATACAACGTTGCCAAGTTTTCGATGCCAAAATGTTAGTAGACTGAAAGCTGGATATACATCTACAGTAGCGCCAATATGGAAAAACGCTGAACTAATTGTATATAAATTTTTCATTCTACCATCATTTTGGCACACACTAAAAGTGAAAATTACTCTAAACCAAACAGAGATAGGTAGGTAGTATTTTGACCTAACAATATGCAGTCACTTTCAGTTCGAATGCGATATAAACGGTATATCTATCGCACTCTCAACAAAATTTATTAAGCAAAAACAAAGTGGCGTCGATATACGGACGCCACATCGTCTTGTGACGCCAAATTGTTGGAAAAAGCACAATGTATCGTTGCCAAAATGATAGAATGATGTATATATATATATATATATATATTTCATTATCAGGTGTTCCTCAAGGGTCCAATCTGGGACCCTTATGTTATGTTATGTTATGTTGATAATGGGGTGTTAATACACTGCGACCTAAAAGATCTATTGTGCCCCCTTCTGTCGCCACTGCAATAAGGAAATG